TTTTTCCCTTGATATTTTTATACAATTTTGTAACGCTTGAAAAACTCGGTCAAACCATATAAAAACTAGTCTGGCTGGTCATCAAACTGGTAGATAAAAAAGAACATTGATTATCATTAACAATTGAATTCAGTGTACATGTGACAGTCATTGAATATTTTACCCAGTCTAGGCACAAACACAAACAAGTGTTATGAGGCTCATTCTACCAGAAATCACTTGTAAACACTTTGTATGAGAGTTTGACATAGAAGAAATCAAATTTTTCGATGGGATTGAATTTATCAATTATCAAGCCCTCTGCTTTATTCATCAGTAGCATGGAAAACAAAGAAAAACTAGATTGTACGAAAATTTTTTATTCGTCATCATTTTGATTTGAATATAAACGTTTACGAGCTGGATATAGTTCAGTATATTGTACGTTTGGTGGCTTAGTGTTAAATGTTAAAAGTGTATTCATTTTCGCTTCGTTATTTCGATCAAATTGACTCGAATTATAAATATCTCGATTACTTAGACTTCTTCCAAACGGTTTTTTACTCATTGGTTGTTTCCATTGTACAGTTGGTCGAGTTTTTTTTTGTACTAGTTTTGAGTCAAGTAACTGTTTAAATATTGAATTATTACTGATTGGTTCACTACGTTGACGTAATAATTCTAAAAGAGCTCGTTTATAATATCCAGATGTATCGGTCTAAAATAAAAATTAAATTTTTGTTTTTTGTTTTTAAATAAATTTTTTTAAATTAAACGAACATGTATTTGATCAAAAAGTGTACGTTTAGATATTTTTTCAAATTCAGATTTTATTTGTATCATATCAATTTCACATCTTGAAACGATTATACGAGTTAAATTATCTTCATTACAACCAGAACTCTAAAACATAAAAATATTTCAAATTTAATTAATAAAAGTTTGACAGAAAAAAAATGATTTTGTTTTTTTACTTTAAGACTTTTTTTTAATTCGAATGCAAAAAACCGTGGCCGATTTCTTACAATTCGAACTATTAGAAAAGAAATTCAAATTTAGTTCAAAACAAAAATAAGCAAAGATTTTTTTTTCTTCATTACCAATAGCCATCAATGTATGACTAAGATCAGAATCTTTATCAATTTGAATCGATTGTTCAATATCAGTTTTACTAAATTGTGGATAAGCATCAAAGATTTGTTTTAAATGTGTATTACTAATATTTATGAAATAATTGTTATTTTATAAGAAAAGAATTTATTACGAAATACCTTCGATTACATAAAAGTCGAATAAATGTTGAACCATCTCTACGCCATTTTGAATTTGTTTCATATAAATATTGAGCATCTTCTAATACTTCATCATCATCAATATCATTATCTTCTGGACGATTAGCTTGAAGTAATGCAAGAATGATTTGTTTTGAAGGCGTTTCTTCATCATCAATTATATCTTTTGCAAGTGTACTTTTAAATACTTATTAAAAAGAGAAAAAGAAAAAAGTGAATTTTATCTAATAAATAAGATTACTTTACTTGTTTCATAAGTATGAATTATTGTTTTAATTTCTTTATTTGAACGACTAAGAAATATTTCAATAAGAGTAGTTTCATCAATTTTTGTTCCACATAATATTCGTCGTAATTCAATACAATCATATTCAATAGATGATAATAAAAGTCTTTGTAAGAGTGTTTTTAAATTTCCACTTACTTTAGTTTCGATAACATCATTTAGATTCTAAAATGTATATTATAAAGAAATTTATATATAGAAATACTATTAGACACGTACTTAGATTTTGTTTTATAATAAGTATTCAACATGTATTTCTTATCACATATTTAAATTTCTCATAGATGAATCAATTTCAATAATTCCTTACGGGTACATTCATGAAAATTATCTGCGAATAACATATAAAAAATTAATGGCGGCTTTTGAGCGTCCGAGTCAATGATTCTTGCATCTGGATCCGCAGATTTTCGGCTGGAAAATGATAGAAACCTAGAAGCAGGAATTCAGTGATCATATTCTGTAGCTAGATTTTTCCAGTTCCAGGCAGAGCTGGTCATCGAATTCTTACTTCCAAGTTCCTACGATTTTCTAGTTGTACTTCATTCATCTAGATGCTCAACTTAGTTTTCTATAGTGATTCGAAAATTTGTGTTATATATATGAAATGAAAGTCGAAATGAAATCGAGGACAAATCTATATCGACAAACTCAGTGCATATCGATGATTCAACTCTCTTTGACTTATGACGGTATCACTCATCACCTCTCTTTTCATATTAATTACATGGATAGACTAAGTTTGAAGTAGGGACGTCTCGAACGAGTCGGTCGAAGAATTGATCCTTCTCAATCTTGAAAATCTTCTTTTTGCTATAACGGAGTTCTAGCGTTTTATTGGTTTTTTTGCTCACCAACCTCGGAGCGTCTCTGTTTAAAGAATATGGATGAATAAATTATGAACTATTTCATATCTAGTCGGAAATGATTTCTAGATACTTCATAGAGTTCTAATGATAGTGTATCAGAGATAAGATCAGTTTGATTCAAGACAAAAACGCAAACCGATCTCATCTCCGCAGTGTATCCCGAGTGAAAGCATTTACTATAAATTAAAGATAACCTTTGTTTTTATTTTAGTAGACTTACTTCACCAAAACGGTTTGGATATGTATCACGAATTTGAAGACGTTGAGCAATAGTTCGATTACAAAGTATTCTTATAACACTCATTTCATCTATATTTGGTTTCTGTAAGCTTGTATTTAATTCTTTACAATCTAAATAGGAAAGAAAAAGAAAAAATATTTTCATATAAAAGAATAAGTTTTAAATCTAACCTTGTTCCACATTAAAATCATTAAAACGTACTAATGTTCCTTCTTCTAATGATATTTCTTCAGTTTGATTAGTTTTTGATCGGAATGGAGAAGGAATTACTTGAATAATAGTTGATGATGACTGTTTTTGTTGATTATTTGTATTTTGTATATTTTGTTTTATTGATTGTTCAGTTTCATTAGAATTATTTATAATTCGTTTTGGATATCGATTAAGTTCTTCTCGATAATTTTCAATACTGTTCTTAATTGTTGTTCGTATTTGTATAGTTTCCTCTAATTGATTTTCTCTTTCACGAATAATTTGTTGAAGCATTGATAAATGTCTTTGTGATTTTGATATTGATTCAGTATTAACTCGTTCATCAAGAATTTTTTTTTCTATGATTTCTATCTGACTTTGTAATTGATAAATATTTTCACGTACAAAACGAAGTTGTTGTTCAATATCGTTTTTTTCACGTTTAAATTGTTCGGAATTCATTTCATGTTCTCTCAATACATTTGGCGTTGGGAATGATTTCTGCATTCGATAACGATGATATTCAAGTTCAAATTTTCGATGTAATTCATCTCTATATGTTTGAAGTTTTCTTTCAAATTCGGATTTCATACGACGTAATTCATAATTTAATTGTTCATGAAAAGTATTTGATGGTTCAATTGTTGCTATTTGATTAATATTAATTGATTGTCGTATATCATTCATTGTTGTTAAATGTATATCTTCATTTGTTATTTTTTCATTTTCCAATACTCCGAACTCCATTTCTAAAACTTGTTTAGCAAATGTTTCTTCATCTAATTCATAACGTAATTTAACTTGTCGTGTTTGTAAAATATTATTTTTTAATGTATAAAAATTAGTTTCATCATTAAATTGTTGTATACGAGAACGAAGAAATTCTGATTCAGCTCGATTTTGTGCTAATTTACGTTGATATTCAAATATTTCTTTATTTGTTGTATTACGTTTTGATAATAATTGTTGATAATGTTCATCATTAGCAACTGTTACTTGATGAATATCAGTTAATTTTTTGTTTAATTCAGATTTATAACGTGATGCATCAGTTATTAATTGATGACCTGTTTCAATTTCTGATTGAAACATTTTTTCAATAATTGAAGAATTTTTATTTGCATTTGTCTGAAATAATTCAAGTTGTAATTCTTGTGCACGATTATGTACCTCATAATGACAACAAAGTAATATATTATCTGTTAATGTTTCATGTAATTTGGATAATTCACGATGTTCATGTCTAATATGTTCTCCATCGATATTTTGTATTGGTGCTACAGCTGTTGATAGTGGAGCTTGAACGAATGAAACAAGACCATAATTTGTTGTTAGTGTTGGTGCCACTAAACTTGAGTCAATATTTGGAAGAGTAAAATTACGTAGTGATCCTTGAAAACTATTTGTAAGATTGAGTCCTATAGTGCGTGGGGTCATATATTTAATAACTGTCGTTGGTTGATGAGGTGGTGCCGTAGTAGGACGATTGAGTTCAGAGTTAAATTTATGATGATCTATTTTCGTATTTCTATCCATTATAGATTTTAGTCAAATAGCTGCAACAACTTTATTTGATCGTTTGACTCTTTTATTATCATTTTACTGATAAAAATATAACCTTGTCATTTTTTTTTCTGTTTTTCATGATATCTTCTATATACGTTTTATTTCTTCTTTATCTTTGGATTCACCATTCTTCATCTTCTTCTTTTTTTTTTTTATTTATTTATTTAATAGAAAGAAGAAAAAAAAAGAATTATACATATAGTTTACAATTCTTGAATACGATTCGATCTATTAGTTGTTTGTTGTTGTAAACGAATATGTTCTAAATTTTTTTCAATACGATTTTTATCACATTGATATTGATTTAATTGATGACGAAGGTCATGTTCAATTTGTTCTAATTCATATCCAAGCATGACAAGTCGATTTGAATGTGTTATTGTCCAACTTAGAAAATAATCAATTTTATGTGAAAGATTTAGAACTATTTTACGATTGAATGTTTTTAGTTTTTCAGATTTTTTTATTTTCATTGGATTCGATGTCTTTGGAATAGTCGAATATAATTTACTATTATTCTACAAAGAAATATTTTAAAATATTTAATTCATATTTATACAATGGTGAGCAACAAGTTCCATGACACTTCCAACTTAATGAATATCCGTTTAGTTTCGAAATCATAGGGTATATGTATTTTGTGGAAAGATACTTTCATTTAGAAATTCTGAGTATTCACTGAAAACTTACTGTGAGATTCTCTTTGGAATCCAAATTGTAAAGTTACTTTAGTGCTAGAAAATGAGACGTTTTATAGCTATGTGATATATAAAATAAATGAGTTATTCGATTTTGTAATAGAGAAACTGTTCTTATTCACATTTTCAAGCGAAATTAGTTAAAATATGTTAAGATTTTGAAAATCTCCGCTGTAACATTGTATAATTCGCTTATTTTTTTTTTACACGTCATATGACTACAAAACGTTTCATTTTGTAGAACAGAAGTAACTTTACAATTTGGATTCAAAAGAGAATCTATTTGTTGCTGTGTTCACAATGAGTTTTCAGTGAATACTCAGGATTTCTACATGAAAGTATCTTGCGAGAAAATATGTATACACTATGATTTCAAAACTACAAGGATATCACAATTAAGTTTGAAAAAAAGAGAGATATAATAAAAGAAGTTAAAAATGCAAAGAAACTTTTTGTCTAATGTTGTTCATTCACTAAAATTCATAGTATTTGCTTGACCTAATGATACATAAAAGCTTAGCAACTAACAAGAGAACTATTTCAAGTGATAAATCATACTTTCCTTCTAGTGTTATAGTCATTTGATTGGTATTTTAGATTATGACATAGTATATACCAACAAATCGAATGGCAGTATTCCAATGTGAAATTTAGTTTACAGAAAGATCTACTGATGAGACTAGAATATCCTGAAAATCCTTTTGCAGGGTATGAGTGATTTTTGGAAATTCAATATTTCATAAATAAACAAAAGTTTTTGAGCTGAAACTTTCAGAATATTCTAATCATCAGTACATCTATCTATGCGCTAAACGTGTCATAGTCATAAATTTACGTAGAATAGCTATAACTATGGAAAGCAGATCTAAGAGTACTTATCCCTTTGAAAAATTTTATATCTCATTAAGATCCATCTTGTACATAGAATCTAAAATTTAAAGATGATTTATTACTCTATTGTAAAATTTTGAAAAACATTCTTTGAGATGTCATGAAATTTTTTAACCGCCACTGTATGTTTTTTTTTCTGAAATTTACCGGTTTATTTATTGTTATTTTTGATTTAACTGATCGATTAATATGAAATACATTTGTAGTTGTTGGTATTTCTTGATTTAATTCATTGTTTATTGTTGATTCAACTGATGGTTTATATTCTTGAATTTGTATTAGAAATCGTTTAAGATCTGATAGTACAGCTAATACATAAATATTTGATGGTGTTTGATGTGGATATGGACCATGAATAATAGTTAAAATATCAGCAAGTAAATTAATGAAAAATTCTTCAGATATATGATAAGATATATTTTTATCTTGTAAATGTTCACGAATTAATGATATACGTGTATGAAGAATAGATATTGAATCATATTGTTCATCAAATACTTCTGTTTTTTGTGTAAAATGTCTTGAAGCTATATGTAAAAATTCTGTACCTGATTCATATATATATGAATTAAAATCTCCACGATAACGAATACTAATTAGAATATAAGCAAAAAGAATTTCAAAAAGATCAAATCGAACATGAACATGAGGAAGAATTGAAGTTAAAGATGGAAGTGGAACTATATTAGATATTATTGTTGGAATAGTATCAGGTAAGACAGGTAATGATGAAGAAGATGTTGTAGCTTCTAAATCTGTGATAAGACTAGGTGCTTGTGTTTTATATAACCACCATGGTTTCCATGGTTTATAATCATTAAGTAAATGTGAAATACGTCCATCATTTAACATTGTTTTAAATTCATGTTTTTCTTCTGTTGTTAAATAATTCCATAGTTTATTTACATTTTCATCGGATTCATCAAGATCATCGGGTAAATCAGGTATAGGTTCTTCATCACTTGCAATACGTTCTTCAACTTCACCATCCTCCTCCTCCTCCTCCTCCTCCTCCTCCTTCTCCTGCTCATCATCAACATTAGCCATTTTCTATAAAAATAAAATTATAATGAATATTATTAGCTTGACTTCATCGAAAGTGTTTCAAACTTTCAGAAGCAGAAGCAAATAAATGTCCTGATACCAAAAAACAATTTCAAAATTTTTAAAAAATCATTTCTTGATAATTTCCAAGTCTTTCTAGTGAAAATCCGATTTCTAGGATTTTCTTATTTTAAAGTTCGAAATTTTTGGAAAGCAAAAGTCTCCACCATCCCCTTCCCCCCATAATTGGTAATCCTGATCAGAACATTAATTTCTACTACTTCTAAACGTTATTGAAAAATATTTATTTATTGAATTTACCTCTCGATAATTTTCTAAATCATTTGTTGGTAATAAATGTTCAAATAATTCTTCAATTTGTTCATCATCTTCTTCATTATGAAAATCTTTTTCCTCTAATTTTCTTTTTAAAATATCTTCAATTCTTTCACGTACAAATGGATTTGTTGTTGTTTGATTTTCATGATTATTTTCATCAATATTCATAGAATCGATAAATTCATTTTCATCGAATTTTTTTGAACATTTTTCGTGTAATATATCACGATAACATGTTAAACTACAATATTTCATTTGACATTTTGGACATTTATATGGTGCTGATTTTTCTTGACAGATTTGACATAAATTTTCAAAATTCATTATTTTCTTATTTTAAAAATAAATCTAAAACAACCTAGAAAATATAAATTTCATAATTTTATTGAAAACTTATCGATAAAATTTATATGGAATTCGAAATCATTTGAATTAAAAATTTTCATCTAACAAAATAAAGACATTTTAAATAAATGTTTTTTTTTTTCTTAAATGAAAATTTTAATCGATTACTTTTAACTTTACAAATTCATTAAACAAATCAAAATCAACGTATTTAAATATATTGCAACTTTTTTATAATGATCATAATAATTTTTTAGAATAACATTTTCGTTAAAATTCTTTGCACTAACGAGGAAACCATCCGTACTGATATCCGCTGTTCAAGCTCATATTGAGCCTGTAAGCATCCCTTGGTGAGACTAGCAACTGTATAAGAGGCTTCGTCCCCATGACCCTTTGAAGTTGAGTTATAATCGTTTTACTGAATTTTCAACCTGCAATTTGTTCTATGAGTAAACCTAATGACCCTTGGAGTGACCTGAAAGTTTCTGCCAAAAAGGGTGTTTTTTAATAGAGGTATTGATTTTTAAAGTAAACTCAATTTTTGTATCATACCTGTGACGAACGATTATTTTTTTTTTGGAAATTTGATATCTCAAAAAAAGAACATTTTTTTGGCTGAAACTTTTAGAATATTCTATGGATTACTCAATCGATATATGGGAATAATGTCACGTCAATATTCTGTTCTTTTGATTTTTCGATATATATCTAAAGTTGGGTCGAAAATTCAAAATAACAATGCTAGCTCAGTTACAAAGGCTCATGGAGGACGAATTCTTTTACGCTTTTTCTAGCCTTATCAAGACTTCCTTGTGGGTCTCATGTGAGCGCAAACGGCGAGTATTTTTTTATACGGTTTCCTCGTAAGAACTCCTTGATGAGTCATGTGAACTCAGCTCTCATTCTATTGCGAGAAATGCATAGTGACACTTTTATGTAGTTTTCTGGCTCAACCTACTCGAAAATAGTTTTATTAAATATCATTCCATTCACTTTAAGAGTATTGTATGCATATTTTTTTTTCCATGATATCGATTAAAATTAGTACTAAGATAGATATAAGAGTTTATTAAAGAAGCAGCTAAAGTCAGACAACGGTTTTTTGAATTTTCACTGGAAGTAGTGACTCGTCGTTTATTCTTCATTTCTAGCAAAAAAATCGGAAAAAGTTTCGACAAGAAACTACGATCACTCCGTTTTAAACCCATTACTATTTCGATTGCATGTATTTCGACTAATGAAGGTACACACTTCCAATTGATAATCTCTATTCAAGCTCATACTTTCCTGATTGTTACGATCCATTGTTTGCTGAGTATACAATATCTTGAGAAGAAACCATTTATTTTTGCTGAAACTTACAGGATATTATAAGGACTATGAAATCTATTCCTTTATAAAATTTCAGACTAAAATTCATTGATTTAATTTTCCTCGTTATATTCTACAATAGATTGAAAATTCAATAAAATGATCATAACTCAAGAAGAAATCACTAATGACACATACCCTTTCAGAACTTTTATCTACACAATGGATCTTAACAATCAACAAAATATAAATATCGAACAAAGGTTATTTCTTGGAAGAGTTCTTTTATAAGACTGATAATCTTTTGCTATGTATCATCGATATTTAGCAGAATAAAATTTCTTATTAACACGACTTGTAATCATAAAGTTGCAATTTTAATATTCACAATTCTTTCTTAACATATTAATACTCAATGAACTAAATAAAATCGATTTTCTGTAATATTCATTTGAATCATACATTTATTCATATTTCTCATTAGACATTATTGATTTTTCTTTTTTGACTAAAATCAATTTAATTAAAATTTACATCGATGTTTTATCATGTGAAACAAAACAATTGAGTCGTTGATAAAATTGTTTATTCGTCATTTGAAAAAGAAAAAAAACTAAAATATGTAAGTGTTGTTTTGCAAAAATATAGATCAACTTGTGTAGACAAGTTTATCTAAAAAATTTATGAAGAAAAATCGTTAAGCAAACCAATAACAACAACAAACATAAGATAAATTATAATATAACACGAAAAAATCAATATCCAAGAATAATAATAATAATAATAAACACGAGTACACAATCAATTTAAATAAACACATAAAATACTGAATGTCAAAAGTTGTACATTTTGTTTAATCGTTTAGTCATAAAAAAAAAACACACCCAATAAAAAACAGATGTGAGATTAAAGTCAAAAGAGAAATATCACCCAGTGTACTGTAAAAAAGAAAAAAAAAACAAGGAAAACATAAAGAGAAATCACATAGAGGACGGAGATTAAATAGAACAGATTTGTTTTGTTTGAATTCAAAATTTTATTTTTTCTTTTAATATTAAATCATATATTTCAGATGTTAATCTTTCATAAATCTGTTTTTGTGGATTTAAATAAAATATTGGTTCATTAATAAGTTTTAGATCAAAGCCTTCTTCTTGAAATACTGTCTTTTTAACTTTAAATGTACCTTAAAAAACAGAAAAACAAAAAACTTCGTAAATGACAATGATATAAATATTAACTAACCAGTTAATTCAATATGTTTAGTAAGACGAATAAAACATGGTCGAGCATAGGATGGTAATCCATTTTTTTTCAAATCTCCTGCTAATGTATTCATATCAATTGGTAGAGAAGGACCATCAAGAATAACAGCCATTCCTGCTTTACCATCAGTTTCTATAAAAAAATATACAAGCAAAATCAATGCAAAAAAGACATGAGCATCTTCAATTTGATTTTAATTCTTTATAAAAGGTTATTTTTTTTATCAAGTTCTTTTCCTATGAATATACATAACAACATTCGCTTATCCAGCTATAATCTAATTAAACTGAATTAACTAATTATCCTACCAATTAATTAAAATCTAGTTAGTTAATTAATTAATTAAAATCTAATTAGTAAATTTATTAAAAGTTAATTAGTGAATAGCTCTCCAACCTTATATTGAAAAAGTTCAAGAATTCCAGAACAGATTTCATGCCATAGACTATGTCGATGATCAAATATTCAGCAAAAACATCGGACTCCGAACAATTGCTTACTAAGAACTGATTTTTTCAGAGATTTATTCTTGTCTCAAAACGAGAATTTTTGTTTTTTCCTATAATCTTGCCATTCTCGAGAAGAGTCTATACTATTTAAAATTGTTTACTAGAGGATTTTTTGTTGTACTCATCACATCGGTAACAATGAATAAATTCAATTCTTCGAAAAACTTAAGTATGTTCAGAAAAATAACTTTCCGTAGTGATTTTGTAGATTGAAAATTTCTCTACAAAATGCACTGTTTTATTTTCAAAAAATACTGTTTGAATTTGCTGGATTTATAAATGGACTGGCACGCAGTGAAAGTAAGTGTCCTTTTTTTTGTGCTACGTCGCTAACTAATGAAATCGTCCAGACATCTACTAAAGCAGTACTATTATGTTTTATATATTAATCTTATAGTAGTGAATTTGAAAGGTTCTATACTTGATTTTAGTCTTTGGTCGGAGTTTTCAGGGCAATCAAACAGAATATCTCAGAGAAACGCATGAGCCATTTTCGTCATTGTGATCCAGCTAAACAGCATTCAGGATGATAACTTTCACTCTACTCGTCAAAATTTATTTCATCTAAAATTTTCAATTTTTTCTTTTGAGCCGTTCTTTATAGGCTCCGGAAAACGGAGGCAGAATACCCTTAAAAGTTTGTGCATCAAATACTCTTGTTTTTAATGATAGATTACGAGAAAACTTTCAATTTTTCAAAGAATTCTTATACCTGGTATTGCAACTCCAAAAACGACAACATCATTTCGTTTAAGAAGATTCATAAGAATATTTTCAACTTCAACTGTTGATACATTTTCACCTTTCCAACGAAATGTATCACCTGTACGGTCACAAAAATATAAATAACCATATTTATCTGCTACCATAACATCGCCTATTTAAAAGAGAGAGAAAAAAAAACTAAACAATTTCGAAATATTTTTAATTAATATGAATAATTTTACCTGTATTAAAAGCACGATCACCTTTTTTATAAATATCTTCAACAACTTTTCGTTTTGTTCCTGATGGATTATTAACATAACCATCAAATGCATGTAATATATTATTTTCAATCATTCCTAATAATAATCCACGTTCATCTGCTTTACATCGTATACATAATTTTGTTTTTCCATCACGTATTGGTTCTAATGTTATAGGATCAAATCGTACAAGTACACTTCCAAGTGCACGAGGAGCAATTAATGAATAAAATCCACAAGCACCTGGATGAGAATCAATATTAACTAAAACATAAAAATAATAAAAAAATAAAAAATAGAAAAAATAAAAACTTCTTTTTTGTATTACAAAAATAAGCATTGCTTTCAGTAGCTGCATAAAATTCATAAATTTCTCGTACATTAAATCGTTCAACAAATGGTGTCCATAAATTTTGTCGTAGTCCATTACCACAACATAAACGTATTGAATGTTTTCTATCATATTCACTTGGTGGTTGAGCAAGTAAAAATCGACATAATTCACCAACATATGTAAAACCCTTATTAAAAAATTTTAAAAAAATTATTATTATTATTATTTTATCTTTTGTTTTTTATTTACTGTGCATTTATATCTGACACAATCTTTCCAAAAATTTGACGCTGAGAATTTTTTACGTAATACTGTTGTACAACCTCCTATGAGACTAAAACAAAATAAAAAAAACGAATTTTTTTTTTGTCCAAGTAATTATTTATTTAAATATACCTGTGAGTAATACAAACCCAGCCACCTAAACAAAACAAAAAAATAACAGAGATTTTCTAAAGAAATCTTTTTTTTTCTGTAGAAATAGAATATACCTAATGAATGATAAAATGGAAGAGTATCGTACATAATATCTTTATCGGTAATACCAGTTGCCACAATAAAACCAAATGAGCCAAGAAAAAATCTATAAAGTAGAATTAAGAATGAGTAAAGTTTGGCATAAACTTTAATTCTATGCAAATCTATACATATCATTGGTATTCAATAGGAAGAATTTAACTAATGAATAAACATACTTAGATATTTTTTAATCCATTTTTATTTGACTATCAGTTGACTTCGATGAAATATGAAAACGATTCGTCCTTTTAAAATTTCTTTCATGAGCAACACATTTTTGACTTGATATTTTGATTATATACAGAGTGATCCAAAAGACGTCCGACAGTCTTTGTTTGCAAATAATTTTTGACACGAATAAGACAGAGAGCTGCAACTTTGACCTTTCGAAATAGGCCGTGTCACTGAATGGTTCTCTGTATGATTTAACAATGTCAATATATGACTGAATGATCAGTGAGTGGACTTCAGAAAAATACGAATAGCTCTATGAAGACGACATAGAAGTTCAATTCTAAGTGTACTCATGATTAGAGACCTGCGGAGTTAGGTTTTTTTTGTCCCAAAATTCGACTCCGGCTCCATAAAACTCTGAAATTTTTTTCTCGAAAGCAGACGACCTCTAATATATTTTATTGATTAATTTTGAAGTTCTTTTTTTTCATTTGTTGTACAGTAGAAATAAAAAACAATAACTAATGAAGTATTCGACATACTATGCCCAAGCAATAGAGTCCTGGATTGGATTCAATTTCGGAGTCGACTAAATTTTACGCTAAAAATTTCGCTTTAGCATAGAAAAGTTTTTGTATTGTAGGTTTTGTTCTCTAATATTTACTGTATAAACTGATGTGTTTTAGAGGTTTCAATGACATGTTATGAAAACCTATGGACATGAAAGAAAGTCGGAGTCAAGCTCAAGTCCGATTTTGACTTTCTTTCATGTTCACAGGTTTTGATAACACGTCATTACAATCTCCAAAATGTATCAGTTTATACAGTAAATATCAGAGAATAAAACCTACAATTCAAAAAATGTCTTGAGATAAAGCAAAATTTAGTCGACTCCAACTCTGTCGGAGCTGGAATCTGGCTTTGGAGTTCCTCGCAGGTCTCTACTCACGATCCACACACACTCACACACTGTTTAGTGTTACACCTATAACTCTTAAATCGATCATGATAAACATTTCGCAATTGGATGCGAATTGTGAACACATTTCTTATATTTAAATTTCTGTATCATCTTCATAGAGCAATCAATATTTTTTTTCTGAAGCACACTGAGTGATTATTCGATCATCAACCGACATTATTGAATTACATATGAAATCATGCTGTGACATAGCATCTTTCGAACGGTCAAAGCCTGTCGAGTGATGTTCAGATCACCTTGTATATAATACATACAGTCATTAGGGATGTTTTCAAGGCAACTCAAGCTTTTCAAATTTTTCATATCACATTGAAGTCTACTCGTATTCAGAAAATAACATAATGAATGTGATTGTCTATAAAGAAACAATTAAATGCACATTCAGTATTTCTAGGAGTTTTTTTTTTCTTTTGTTGTTGTGTCTGTTTCAAAGAATACATTTACATTCTTTTCTAAAAAAAAAAAAAGAAATGCGTTCTCAGACTTAAAAGAAGTACTTCATAGAAACATAAGTGAATATGTGCGTGTCCAAGAAATGCGAATGAGTTCTTTTGTAATGAATAAACGTGTCTGAATTTCTAGAAGAAAGTACAAAGACGAAAAAGCCTTTTAATTAATATATAATGAGAGTTTATTGGATACATTTCTATTTTAGAAAAATCTCTCCATATGTCACTTGTAAAAATGCACATTTCGTTAATTACATTCTATGATTACGTGAATGTTTGTTTTCACTAGAGAAAACTTAAGAATGTCTTTAAAGCATGCTGCAATAGACCATTGAAGTGACTTTACGACATATATACAAAGAAAGAAGCGCATTTTTCAATAGAATATTCTTTTCTAGTAGCTGTTTCTCATGATTTTTTTCAAACTCGGGATTGACACATTACTACAACAACGGAAGCAAAATATTATCCTTACTGAGTTTAGATATTAATATAGTCATAAATCCTACAAAAAAAAAAATCAACAAACTACAGAAATTATTTTGTAAAAAGTCGATTTTCAAACGGTGTCTTCTAAACTATCTTGTGCTTTGATTATCTGAGAGAAGACTTCCAATATGTCACGAGCTTTATGTTCTCTCTCATAAACTTGAGTTTGCATGAAATAATCAACATGCACATGTAGAATGTTTAAATTTTATCAAAAAATTTAGTCCGTATATTATTTTATAACCGATCCTATAGCATGTGAACTTGATATTAACATTTATATACAGCTTCGATTTTTACTATAATTTCTCAAAATAATTAATATGTGTAACTCCTGGATGATTTCTAGTGTAATAATTTGAGAAGTAGTAAAAATTTGGATAATCAATTCTAGATACTGTGAACCATGAAGTAGAATTGATTGAGAACAATATTAAAAATATTTGTACGTGTATGTAAATGATCGTGTTCTTGATCTTTTATTTTATTGTATGTTTATGTCATTGCAAAAGAAGCTTATTTTTCTTATTATCTTTTTTTTCTTGAGAAGAGTGATCAAGAGGATAAGAAATTTCTATTATTATTTTTTTTTTTTTGTTTAACTATTGAGACTTTTTTCTACTTTTTACGATTAAATCCATTTATTATTTGTTCTATAAAAAATGAATAGAGATCTTTTCAACTAACCTTGAATGTTTAATAACAGCTGCTTTTGGTAATCCTGTTGTTCCAGAAGTAAAAATATAGAAGACAGGATCTAATCAAAATAAAAATAAAAAAATAATTAATTTTCTTTTTCTTTCAATGATTATACGTTTTAAATTATATGGAATAGGTTTTGTAGGTTGAATTGAACATTTTTCAAGTTGTTCATATAATTGAATTGTTTCAAATGATAATATTGATGTACAACCATTACTAATATTTGTTGTTAGTTTATTTTTTGAATCAAATAAATAAACTTTATTTATATTTAATTCTTTTAATTCAGATTCAATTTCTATGAAATGAAAAGTAAATAAAAACAAAAAAAGATTTAAAAAAAAATTTTTTTTTTTTTTTACCTGGAAGAAGATATTTCGAAGTAATAACACCTTTAGCATTAACTGTTTGAATGGAATGTAGAAGTGGTGTAGCACGTAGATTTGTATTGATTAATGCTGTTATACAACCAATTTTACTTAATCCAATCCATACACATGGATATTCAATAGAATTATCTAATATAAGTGCAATAACATCTCCATAAGAATAACCTTCAGCTAAGAAATAATTTGCTAATTGATTTGTTAAATCTTCAACCTAAATAAAAGAAAAATACAATAAAGTTAATTAAGATATTTGTTTATCTGTTTTGTTTTTGAAGTAAACAAACTTGTTGGAATGATAATGTTGTATCTTCAGAAATAAAACATGGTTTTGATTTATAATATTTCACATTATTACGAAATATAGCTATAAAATCTCGTTTTCGATATACATGATATTTAATTGTTAAAGAATTTCGAGAAAGTTTATAAAGGCCACGAATATCACGTGGTAAGGTTTTAATAATCGTTAATAAATAATCAAATAACCATTTTAAAAAAGTCCAAATTCGATCAAACATCTGAAAGATAAAAAAAAAAAAGACAAATCATCATTTATACTGTATTCGTCATATGATATTGTTTTATTTAGATCCACATATTATTTCAGATTAAAAATATGTCATCGTCGTCATGGTTTATAAAGCTGTTGTTTAACAGAAAGAACATATATTTCAACCTACACACGTAGACGTCGTAAAATATGTATGAATAATTATCGAATGAGACAGACAGAGAGAGAGAGAGAGAGAGAAAGTACATAAGCAACTTTTTTTTCTATAAATAATGCATCGAATAAAGAATAGAACGAAATGAAAGGAAAGAGAAAAATCTCATACTTTCTCAGTTTTTTTTTGTCTCTACATGGTTACAAGTCACGCGAATTGAATTAATGGAATACACACAGCATGTTAGCATACTTTTATATATTTTCACTTGATAATTGAATACAAAAGAAAAAATTCATTTAAATGCGCGGTTAAAAAGAACAGAAAAAAAAGCCATTCTTTATTGTTACAAAAGAAAAGTTCGAAAAAAAAAACAATAATGACATGTTATATGTATTGAAAAGGCAAATACACAGACTATTCTTTTGTTATTGTTGTTTGTTTTTTTCTTCAAATGATAAAAATACAATCACCATATGTTTATACATAAATAAAACAATATAATTAATTTTTTTTTCTTCTTATTCTAACAAATATAACCACCAAAATCTCCTTGAAAATCAATATCAATTCGACATATAGGACATCGTTTACTTTGTATTAACCATTTATCAACACATTCAATATGAAATAAATGCATACATGGTAAACGACGTACATTATCATATTGATCATATTCACATAAACAAATAGTACATTTTTCTTCAACAGAAATTTTTTCTTTTACATATTTATATGATAATGTACGACAATTAATATGTTCTTGACTTGCACCTATATTTGTAGAATTATTTAAACCATTTAATTGTTCTTCCATACGTAATAATTCTTCAAAGACATGTTCATTATTACGTAAAAAAATTAAATTATGAAATGAACGAAATAAAAATGATGTTGATGGCCATGTATTATTTTCATTTCTTGTTGTTATATTTATATTTGAATTTGAATTATATGTTAAATTTGGTTGAATAGTTAAATGATTATTACGAATATTATTATTTGTCGTTGTTGTTGTTATTATTGCTGGATTTGTTAAGATAGCATGTAAATGTTGATCAGCTGTAATCATTGTTGATGATGGTGTTTGATTTTGAAATGTACTAAGACGTTGACGACGTATTTCTGATGTTAATTGTTGACGATAATGATGACGTAAATGAGATGGATGATAATTATGTTGTTGAATTGGTAATGATAATTGAGAATGAGGATTAGATTGATGATTTGTTTGAATGGTTGATGATGATGGTGATGATGATGATGATGATGATGATGATGATGAGATTATTCGAGATGGATGATGTGAACATAAACATGAAGAATTTAATGATCTATTTGGAGCAAATAAATTATTCGAAGAATCTTCATCATCACTTGAATCGAGAATTTCAGAATGTATTTGATTTGTTTCATTATAAATTGATGTTCTAGAATGTATCAATGTATTCGAATTATTGCCACTATTAGATGCTGATGTTGATGCTGACGATGATGATGATGATGATGATGATGATGATGAACATTGTTGAAGTTGTAATTGATGAGAAGATGCTTCAAAAAAAAATCGAGAAGAATTTTTAGAAAACTTTGACTAGTAAGATATATGAGTTAGTACTAATATTCTAATAGAAATTATACACAAATTCAAGAGAAGAAGAAAAAAAAAAGTTTTCATGACATTCATGTATTTGAATTTTTTTTTCTCTTTTTCTGTACGGTGATCATGGTTATCAATCATTTTTTAATTAATGAATTATTCAAATTTGTATAAACTTTAGCTGAATATTTATTAAATATAGATTTTTTTACTTTTTTTTTAATTTATTTTTCTTTTATTCAATTTGAAAAATATAAAATAATCTTCTTTTTTTTTATGAAATAACTGATGATCATGACTTAATGTACATCTGGTAAAGATGAAACAGCTGTGACCATGATAATAAACTTATCTATTAGTTATTTCTTTTTTTTGATTATTTTAGTTATTCTTTATCATGATTATTATTGATTACAATGATAAATTATACACGTCTAAAGTCAGAATTTATACTAGACACATAACATTTATTTTATCTTTCGACTCTTCTGTATCATATTAAAAACTATTTCTTAGAAAAGGTTTTTGTTTTTTTCAATGATACATATATATATATATATACCTGTTGATGATTGTGAGGGATGAAATCGTTTTGATGAATTGTATTCATTTGATATAGGTCGTTTTCTTTGATTAATCGAAGATGTTGATGTATTACAATAATTTTCTATACGATTATTACTATTTGACGTGATTAAACTTTGTTGATTATTATTTGATGTATATCTATCTAGAAGAGTTTTATAACGTGGTAAATTTGTTGTATTTGTAGTTGATGATGAAGATGAAGAATCTAAATATTATATATTATTTATTGAATATTTGTTCTTCTTCCTCTAAAAGTATCATACCATTGTATGTATGTGTTGAAACTGCATATGGTGTTGGTGGTCGACTATTTCTTGATAAATCATTATCATTATGTGTAATTTCATTAGTTAATATTGTTGAATCAATATTTTGTTGATGATGTAAAAGAAGTGCAGTTGTCGTAGGTTCAACAGCAAGAAATTCAGCAAATGCAGCATTTATTGCTGATGTTACTTCTTCAGGATTGACGACTGATTTTTGATGTTGTGGTATAGTACTCATTTTGAAATCTTGAAAAAAAAGAATTTCTTTTTTCTTTTATTGTTTTTGCTTTTAGAAACTAATAAATGAATAACGCAATTTAAAATTTTTTGTTCGATTTTCTCGTGTGGTACAAATATATAATGTCAACGTTCGTTTATTTGCACCCCCCATTACCACTACTATTGCTTTTTTTTTTCTTCTTTTTTTTCCCTTTTGCTTCTATTACACTCGTCGTTCGTTACTCGGGAATATAGAGCGCATGCGTGCATGTTCGCCCTCGCTTTTGCGATAACAAATGTTTTTCTTCGATGTTCTATACTTATACGGGCATATGTTGTTCATCTCAAAATCTATTTTTGCTTAATGTTCTTTCACCATACTTGTTCTCTTTCGTTATACTTACGTTGAAACATAAAATTTAACAATAAAAGTAAAAAATCAACTAAGGTAATATTTAAATACGTAATCTAAACACATACAAATAATATAGATAATTTAGAATGAAAAAAAAAAAAGGTCAACTATAATTTTTCAGTCAATTTTCTCTATATATTGCAAGAGTGCAAAATGATTAATATTTCAATGTGTAAACAAGACAAGAGGAGGAGTAAAAAAGAGAATGCAAGGAATAAAACGACCGATAAGAAGAGCAGTCTTTTTTTTTAAATACAAAGTACACATACCATGAATATCGAATGTACTACTACTATAAGTAAGAAACGATGATGACGGTCGTGCAAATCATGGTGATGGAGGGTACGAGTATGTGTTTTGTGTTTAGCAAAGAGAGAAAAAGAAAAAAAAAGCGCTAAGAAGTTTTTAGTAGCGTATACCTTAAGAGAATCAGACGTTAATATTTCTTTTTTTTTTTTTTTTTCTTTTGTTGATTTCAACACGTATTATTAATAAACACGTATATCATAATATTATCGTGTTTTTGTTTTAAATATATTTTATAAAAATGAAATTCAAAAAAAAATAATAAACAAAAAAGAAAAAAAATAACTATTTTCTTTTTGTTGTTGTAATTGATCAAATTTTTCTTTTTTTTTTTTTTTTTTATTCGAAAATTCATAATTTTCTCTTAGCTTGCATGAATATCTTTATAACAAGTTTCACCAACTTTCTAAGAATAGAAAAAAAAACATAAGAAATTAAATTCTTTAAATTTTCAATTTAAGTTCAACGCAAAAAAAGAAATGACTTTTCAATTAAATATTATTTTCTATAGAATATATTAATCTGTACAACGTGTGAAATCAGAATATGTGATGGAAAAAAGAACACATGTCTGTTGGAATCGTTGTTTATAAAAATCAATTTTGCACTTTTTCACTATTTTTTTTTCTTTACAAAATTTTGTACTTTCACATAATTATAGAGAAAGAACAAACTTTAAAAGTGCATATTGGAAGTTGAGATTCTTTAGAAGAGAATTATAAATTCAAATTAACTTACTAGAAAAATATGAAGAATCAACTAGAATGTAAATGCAAACAATTATTCTTAAATAGATAGACGTCTGTCAGGTGATAAAACGGAAATGAGTTCCCGTTAGAATTACAGCGATCTATCATTAACATTGAAAGAACATGTCGTTTTTAATCAACAAATTAATTTATCTTGATTGAGCAAATAGGTCATTTCGACCTTAGTTTTCTTCAGTCAATATAAATAGAACAATAGTACCGCATAACATCCACGTAGAGATGTTAAATATTTCCAAAAGTAAAGTTTTTTTTTTTTTTTCGAAAAAAAAGAAAGCAAGCACGTTCTTCTAGATATCTGTAGAACAAACAATAGATCAGATAACCAGTTAGAATACTTTATCAATTCTCATCAGATGTTGTTTATCGATAAAAATAATCTTCGATATAACTCTATTTTGAAAATGTTAGTTAATTGTTATTAAAAATCGAAGATAAGAATATCTAGTTTAAGACTATAGAATGGATACAACAACAAAAAAAAAGTCGCTTGTCAAAATGATACCAAAAACGAAGCTAATCAATATAGAAACAATCTCATTTAAGAAACTATGCACGAAAAAGGATAAAAAGCTTCTCTCATTATTGTCAATAATCTAGGCAAAAAAATTATCAAGCTTTTCTTCAGAAAGATATTATCATCTGTATTTCATCAACATCAACCAATCTCCATTAGCTGTTGATTGGCACTATAGTAGTTGATGTCAGCAAATTTAGCTACTGTTGAAAAATATTCTATTGAATAGTGATGTGTCCACTATGAGGAAGTGTTACTATATATATTCAACAAATCTTAGATTAGATTTATAATGTATTATAAAAATTAGTATTTTTTTTTTCTTTTTGCATAATATTTATCAATCAATAGGTACTGAAAAAATTTTTGAAGATATTTGAAATAATCTGTATTTTGACAAAATATATCAATCTTCAGATATATTCTATTCAACTTCAGCTGTTATTAACAATATAATACAATAAAATTCGAACAACATATAATATTTCGATTTCAGATGGTTTTTTTTTTCTTCTCAAGAATGTTTCTATAGAGTTTCAAACGAACATAACATTATAATAGTTGAAATAAAAATTTACATAACCTATAGCATGAAAGTCTTGGTAAAACATATTCAATCATTTTCTAGCCACTGAAAGACAACTGGTTCGAATATATGTTCAGATATTCAATTTTTGGCACTGATTGTAACAACTTTGATTCAACATTATTGTTAACTATTGGATTCTATACGAAATGAGATATTATAATAAACGAAATCTATGTGTTTTTACTAAAGAGCTAGTTTCTATGAAAATTGGCATTGGTAAAAAAAATCACTATGCCGAAAACTGCTTTTAAAAATACAGAAGTTTTAAAATCTATCATGTAAAAATAAATAGTACACTTTGTAGAACAAAGTTTGCTCTACAAAACTGATGCCTTAGAATATTATTCCTCATTTTTGAATTTGATAGATGTCATGCGGAAAATGAAATTGACTAAAATAGTATTCTGTACAATTACTATTCTAAACTTTTTGAAATAATAAAGGATATCTATGTCTTTCAACTACTTTGTGATATAAAATGCTACCTAGCAGCAGATTCAATAATCCGATATCTTCCCTATAGTTATAACATTCTGAACATATATTCAAAAATATCAAAAACTTTCTAATTCTAACTTACTACTTCCCGTTGTCTTTAACTGACCGAAAAATGAATATTTTATGCCATAGACTAGGTACATACCTATGTGATGAGTAGTGACGATTTTATCATGATTCAGTAAGGCGATTAAATTTATAATTAGTCAAATCGTTAAACATGATAATCGTCAAGACAATTGTGTATACCTGTCATTTTTCTTTTCATAAACAATGGTGAATAATTTCGCGCATGGTTATTTATGATATTGTCAAGCTGAAACAATAGTCTGTTTAAATTTATGTTTATTCATACGCATTGACCTTCGTATTTTATGACTTCATTCGACTAGAAACAAAAGCAAAAAAAAAAAAATAATATTATTACATTCAATCACTGAACAAAAAAAACAAAAGAATAAATATTAGTAATATGTTTGACCTTACCTTTACATGTAAATGTCTAATCATATATGTGTATAATGAATAAATAATTTTATATGAACTCTTAATTATTAATCTATAAATTTAAATAAATAATAATATATTTTTTATTTTAATCTAATAGTCTATTACATTCGTGAATCTATGTTTTAAAAAAAGAATACGAAATGATTCAAAATGGATAAAATTATGTCTTTTTAACGTCGAATGAAACCGACATGTATCTTCACTTATAACTTTAATCCCTCAAACTGAACTCAGAACTGACCATTACAATATATTGAAAGTGCATAATTCTAACACATTTCATCAAATAAATTGTCGCCTCAATAATACATAAATCAATTTTTTAATTTATTAACGAGAGATTTATTATTCTAGTCATTTATTTCACTAAAAAAAAAAGATTATTTTTTTCATTTCGATCTTTCAAGGTTTATTTTCACATACTTTGTAGTGTTGTATTATATCAAGGACGTGTCGCTATAAATGTTTATAACGTAACTTCATCGAGGCACATTCTTATTATTTTAATTTGTAGATCAAATTTTTTTTCGATTGGTTGATGTATGTATTAAATTGAATTTGTTTGTGCATTAAATCTGAATTAACTTTTCAACTAATGACGCATCTTAATTCACTATGACATTTTCTCGTGAAGATAAGGCCTTAAAATAATTTGCTGAAACTAAAACCTAAGAACCGAATCTAATGCATCGATTGATGATATAAAGATGTCGCTCAATGTACTATCTTATAATAGTTCATGACTAGATTAGAATCATTTCGATCTTCGTCAAAGTATTATTTCCCGATGTTGATCGTTTTTTTTAGAATAAAAAAAATAAATCACATACACACAGCGGTCATTCTTCATTTTCTATTGGCCAAAAGTAATTATCCAACAGACATACAGTCCGAAGCTTGCTTTTGTTTTTATAAAACACATCACCTGTCTCCTTGGGATTCGGTATAATTTCACTTTCTGATCTGTGACTTCTATTTTCTACTTTAAATAGCTACGTTGGCCTTGCAATGATCTCCTACGAGATATACCACTTGATGAACAGCTATGTCTTCGGTCATCTCGTCAAATATATAGGTCGACTAGAATGTTTCATAGTGGTTGCTGCGCTCAACTATGCAATGATTATTCTAATACTTTTCTAGCAACTATATGACAGTCAAATAGTAGTTCTCTTTGTTATCGCTAGTCTTTGGGCGATTGCAGATAGTATTTGACAGTCACAAGTCGTTGGTATATTTTGTTCTTATTTGTTTGCTCGACAAAATTCATCTATTTGTTGACTATGTCTGTATGCTTCACCTACTTATACGGTTCTCTATTCTGAAAGTAATTCACATGCTCTGGCTAAATATCGTCTCTGGAAATTGGTCGGTTTTGTAATTAGTTACGGTGTAAGTTTTATCATCCGTTTATTCTTTTATTGATTATGTTCAAATTCTGTTTAATATGCTAGCTATGTAACCATGCATTTCGCACTTATACCTCTTCTTGCCTATCTGACAATAAGCATGGTTTTGTATGGTATTGCCGAAGTTCATTTTCGACGAAAAGACTATCGAAAGAAATCAATGAGCGTGATTGATTCTCTCCAATCATGATAAATTACTTTTTTTTTCTTTGCAAACAAATAAAATATCATGCATACACACATTTATCTTACAGCAGTTCATAGCTATCAAAGCATTATATCACGCTGATAGATCCATTTATTTGTGTTTGATCAAAATTCGTTGCTTATTAGTCGATTTCTCATTGGTGATTTGTTTGCACATTTGCATCATATTGTATAGTTCGTGCCGATAAAGTTGAAGATAATGTCACGCGCGATCAGGAAGCCTTGTTATAACTACGGATGATGGTAAAGGTAAGAGCTACTATTTTGAATCGAAAAGTAACTCATTGTCGTCTTTCGTGCTCGATAGATTATCTCAAAATGTCTAAAACTCAATATTTTTTCTGATCAGTTTAGAGGAACTATTGAAATTATAAGCCCTGAAGTCTTGCGAATAACTTGACATCAAAATTAGAATTTATTATTTGACAGTGAGTTTGGGATAAATTTTCTACCCTAGCATAATATAACATAGAACTACAGTTATAATATCATATGGAAGACTCATATCCTGGATTTATTGCCGTAAATGATATTTAGAAAGCACATTTTGCGTACATAGAAAGTTTAATGACAAATACTTATGATCAATAATCAATTGAACTAGCACATATTATTTTTAAAAAATCGAAATTCAAGACCTTTCTACTTTGATAAGCATATCAATTATTCTACTTATTTAAAAGACTTTGAACTTATGGGTTACTAAATCTTTTTTTTGAAATAGAATATTTAAAAAGAAATACGAAGAGGATAGTTTGGAAAAGAAATCAATCGAAGCAAGATTCTGTAATAAATATTTATATTTGATGTTCTATTCTATTTTTTGAATATGCAAAATAACGAAGATCAGGACTTTTTAAAAATATTTCTGTATCGATTTGGTTTTTTTTCTAATCTATCCCGTAAACGATATAATGATTCTTCGATTATGCGAATAGCTTTCGATTCTTTGATGGAGCTATCCCTTTCTCATATCTTTGATTCTCATCTACTGCTAATAGCTGTTCATGTTTGAGCATTTCAATACATGTATAAATATCATTATGTGGCTTTATGAATCTTTTTTTTTCTATCTACGTATTATGAGGTCCTGTAATATAATTTTTGTAGTACGAGGATTGATGTTTCGATAATGATTCTACATAACTGGAAAAAGTACTATTAATACCATATAGATTTTGTCGTGACATTAAAAAATAAGTCATTTTCTTCTTCATATAATGGCAGTCTTCGTAAAGGTAAATGTTCAATTGCTTCGTTCATATACAGAGTGATCCAAAAGCTACGCAACCAAGAAACAGTCGAATATCTCTGTTACAACTCGACATGTTCACACTCTATACCCATAAAGACAAGGCTAGAGAGAACCTTTTCTATATATCACTATTGATTGCAACTAAAAAATTTACGTTTTCACATAGGAAACAACAATGTACGATAGAGAAGAACCAATTTATCAAAGATAAAATGTAAATAATCAAATGTTCTTTTGATTATCACATGTCGTTCATTCATATATCTTTTCTCATCTTATTTTTTCCTCGTATACTATTAGTCATATTCATCTACCATCTCTGTCTATGTTTGTTTTGTATATTCTCGGTAAGTCTTGTTTTCTTGTCTGTTTTTCGTTTTCCATCTTATATTCAGTGTGTAATCGTTGTTTTGCCCTCATCTGTTTGTAGATGGCAGGACTCATGACAGAAGAACAAAGGATTTTGGTTCTCAAACGTTGATGGACATCAGGAAGAACATTACGAGCAGTAAATACAATTTTTTGACATAAATTTTCTGATGATAGAATTCCGAAACTCTGAACAATTTATCGATTGGCAAAAAAGTTTGATGAAACAGGTTCTGTCGATGACGCACCAAGAAGTGACAGACCTACAACAGCTAGGACAGAAGAAAATACTATATTGCTATTTTCAATCCGTGAAAAAGTAGAATTTTTTTGTTGAAGTCAATAGTGGTATTTAAAAAAGGTTCTCTCTAGCCTTGTCTTTGTGGATATGAAGTATGAGCATGCCTTTGCTAGTGGTAAAAAAATTAGCCCGTTTGCTCGAGCCGTAACAAAGATATTCGATTGTTTCTCGGTTGCATGACTTTTGGACCACGCTGTACATCCATTCATCATGTATATGAATAATAAGCGACCAATCCTAGAAAAGCCTTTATACACTGTACTATAAAACTTTTTTTTCCGTCGATGAATTATAACACGGCCATTGTTCTAATGCTTTTTCTTCTTAGCTGTATTAACCCAAGGATGTAATGTGAGTGTAACTGTGGGTATGATGGAGTGCCTATGCATATCGGTCTTGTTTTCACTAACACTTCTTCTCACACCCACACACAACGACAGCAATCGAAAGTTACACATGCTTTAAGTAGCTGCCATTAATGGCCTCTAGAAAACAATTATCTCAAACTCCATCTTTACGACCTATGCATCAGTGCATTGTTGAAGAGGAATAGTACTTTGAAAAACAACTCTAGAACCAGTCTTTGAATATTTCTCCAAAGAACTGATGAAAGAACTTTTGTAGTATTCCTTATATTTAGATATTTTCATTATTTTATTTCAATTCGTTTTTTAATTCACATATAACTGATTGTACAATAGAACGACTTTTTTCTAATTTTTTGCTTACATATGGATGTTCTGGATTTACTAAATCTGTAAGATCCCATAATGCTAAATTTGTTACAAATCTATTGAATTTTTCTATTAAAGAAAATTGTTCAATTGTTCGTGGTGTTGAAATATTTCGTTTTTCTAATTCTTCCAAAAAATAATTTCGAACATTATCATCATTATTAAGAAAATATTGATATGAAGTAAAATATTCTTCAGAACATGGAAATGAACCAGCCCATTCCCAATCGACAATTCCAGTAATATGTGGTGATTCAGGATCATCTATTGATATTAAAATATTTTGAATATCAAGATCTCCATGTGAAAAGATAAATGGTAAATTTGTAAATGATGGAAATTTTAATTTATCAAATTCATGAATAGCATTCAACATAGAATCTTTCACAGGTGCAAAAACTGGATCTGTATTAAGATCCATTGCATTTGCTTGAACACGATCACGAATAAATTGTTCATAACTAGACCAAGGTCCAAGTTGATTGAGATCAGTACCAATTTCTTCATTTATTTTAAATGCACCAATTTTATTAAAACGTGGTATTCGAAAATGCATTTGTTCAATATAATTAACTAAATCTTGTATAATTGATTTTTTTGCATTGAAACTTAATTGTTGATTTTCACATATTTTAGTCATATTTATACCAGGTAAACGTGTCATTAATATCCATTCGACACCATATTCATTATTTCGATCAGATGAATAAGCAAGAACTTTTGGTACAGGTATTGTTGTATATTTTGTAAGTAATTCTAATGCTTTGACTTCTGCTTCTGTTTTAATTTTCTTCCAATAGCGTCCACCAATTTTAAGTGCATAACGTTCAATACTTTCCGTAGTATCAATAAAAAATATCAAATTATTATAACCAGTATCAATACATTCAAATGAGATTATACTCTTATTTAAATATTGTTGAATCAATGTATCAGCTTGAGCACGTGTAAATGATATTCCATACGTAGGTCCATTTCGTTCCAATAGTTCTGAAGAATCACTACTACTACTACTACTGTGAGCAGACATCTTCTATTTGTGTTGAAATTTAAGGTGTCTTCATCCAACATATATAGAACATAATAGTTATTATGAAATTTAATGTTTATCATGACTCATGAGATAAAAAGATGCCAGGTACACTGTCAGAAGGATTAAAACAAAAAGAAAACATTTCTTTCTTGTAATTACTAGCAGATGCATTTTCCATTAGCGACATCTATTTTAAAAAATCTTGAAGCAATGTATTAATTCAGAATATTATTTTATTTTGTATAGTCGATAACAGCAAAAAAAAAACATAATTATTATATGCACATTACGAGTATCAATATAATCTTGTCATTCTGCTACGAGCTACTCTTCAGTGAACATAAACAAAACATTTTCAATTTAAAATACATGTGTGTTATCGGAACTTTCTCCTAACAGTAAATATCTCATTCAATTGTAAACTAAATATAGAATTTTTTTGATACCTAAATGATTGCATAGGACTCATTACTTCGAAAATATGAATCTAGTGCATAACTGAACCAAAAATCTGCTTGCAATGTGTGAATCATCTAGGATCAGTATATCTTAAGCACACAAAAGTGCAGTTGTTTTATGAACGTTAGAATGTTCTTTCATTATATTCGTTCATCTCCACTGTGTATCATCTAGAGCAAAAGTGAAAAAAGTAGTAACGTTTCTCCTAAGAAAATATTGTTGACAATGTTCTTCTACATTCATAATGGAAGATCTGTTTAAGGATATAATCTTACAACATACCATTAAAATCAATCTAACTTTATTAAAATTGTTTGTTAAAGAAAATTTTATGCTTATCATTCATTTGTTGAAATAATTGACTAACAAATGTCAAGCAAGCACTCTACATTTAATATTATTTATTGGTTATTCTCTTTTCCAGTACTATTTGTTGTTCTTTTTCTATTCTAAAATTATTTTTAATTTAATGAATTTTTATCGAACAAAATGAAACAATATAGTCTTTATATTATTAATTTTGATAAGAGAATTCATTTATTACCAAAATTTTCTATATATCGAGTATATTTCAAATTTATACACAAATTAAATTCACAATTATTTCCAAAGAATTTACTTTCAATATGAATAATTGAAATATTTTTCGTAATTATTGAAATTTAAATTTAGTATTGGCGACATTTATATAGACAACAACGTATATTAATTATATTTCAATTAGTATACTTTTTCTATTAAACAATAGTTAACAAAGCATTGCAAGAATAACAATTTTATTACAATTTGAATAAATATTTGAAATATGAATGAACCAAATTTTCACCAAAGAATCATCTTCCAATAAAACATTCTAATCAAAAATTTAGTATAAATTAGCTCAGTATTTCAACGTTAATCAATCGGCAATAATATCATAGAATAGTAATATTTTTGTACTTTACTGATCCAAGTAAAACTCTTGTTGATAATAAATTCAACAAAAAAAGAACTTTGAACCCGAAGATTCTAGTTTGATCATTTTATTTATGAATATATAACACAATTAACTTCTAGAATATTCAAAGTAGAAGAAAATTTCCTTTCATCTAGTAAAAAATTTTTGTTCCAATATCTTTTGAAGGTGCTTTGTTTTTCTGTTACCTCGTTTCGATTATGAACATGTGATAAAAATAAATTCTGTACAATTCGAAAGAGGAAAAAAAAAGCTAGTAATTCACAAACTAAAATCTCTGCTGAGATGCATTCCTTCCTTCATCATGTAAGCAGATCCATTGCATGCCACATATTAATCCCACAAGGATTATCCTAACAATATGTTTAAGATTACCAAAAACTTTTCTGATATTTTAAAATTAAATTCGTTCGAAATAAACAATGAATATGTATTTATCCACCTAGTAATACAGATTTTTTTTTCGATCTATGTACTGACCATTGACTAAAACATAAATGATCTCAATTAATATTAAACATTACTATATAGTTGAAATACATAACAATGAACTTTTTTTTTATTTTAGTTTTTGATATGATTGAATTGAATGTATTAGTAAATTGAAAGAAAATCAAAAAAAGATACAAAAAAATAATATGTTTCATTATTAGACGGCGGTGTACGAAAACATCTTTGACACGTAGTCTATCCGGAAAAACTTTATTTCGTTGGTAAACTAATTGGCATGTCAACTTTTTCATCTGAAATAGTAGTCATTAATCTTTTGAAACAATATGTGAGAAGAAAAGAAAAAGTTATTTAGGACCATTTAGCTTGTTTTCTTTCTGGTAATATGGCACTTAGTTGGAATTTTCAACATAATTTAATTTATCTTAAAACTTATTTTAATATGGATTCAAATTCTAATGAATCAATAATTATTGTTCGAGTATATTTATTTGTTTAATACATATTTTATAATAAATTCTTTATTTTTGTTTTTACTTTGAAAAAGATAATGATAAACATAATTTATTATGTTCACAATTGATTGAATCATTATATTAAATGTAAAATATAATTGGTAATCAAATATATGAAGAATGGGAATGGAATATTTTTCAGTCATTTGAAAAATATATTCGACAAAATGAAAGTTATTCATCAATAAATGATATTCAAAATAAAGATAATGTTCGACGACGTGATAAAATGAAAAATTATTTTTTAGTTGAAATATTTTTATTTATTATTTAATACGAGAAATTTATTTTCATTTAATCAATATAGAAGTATATCTATTATTAATTTATAATAATTAATTACATTTTATTCTTTATGTTTGATTGAGAATTATTATTTTCATTGATTACTAGGGTCATGATGACTATGTCTTATTATAATTTTAGAATATTTTTATTGAATGATTCATTTATGTTAGGATTCTTTTTTCCTTTAATAAATTGCTATGATGTGTGAGTGTGCGCAAATAGAAAAAAAAAAACACTTTGTCATGCTGACAAAATGATTTTTCTTATTTTGCTTTCAGAACGATAAAAACCTTGTTTTTTTGCTTTTCTCTTCCATTCTTCAACACATCATCTGTTATACTTGCGATTTAAAACATGTCAACAAATTTACTGGTAGGAGAAAATATTCTGATGTTTTGACTTTAATAAATAATAAAAATGCTATGTAATATGTTTACTGTTTATTCTGAGATATAATAGAGTAGTTAAGAGGGCTTATCTAGACAATCATCTCGTTAGCATTGATCACAGAGATCTATGTCAATTCTATTCATACGTACGAACAATAAGGTAGGGTTCAATAACATTGACGATAGTTCTTACATGTATGTTACATTCATACTGTTTTGCAACAATTGATGGAAGTCCACCGAACTTTCATCAATACTTGACATAGAACAGAAATCTCCCATCATTCATATAGAAAAATATATTCATAAAAATCAAGATTAAAGATAGCGCTATAATGAATTTTTTATAATATGTTGATTACTTATGAAAAAACGAATATGAAGTTCAGTGTATGAGGGTATAGTGTTAGGACAAGAGTTCATATCCCTTGATTGTGGCATTTCTCAACTTCAGATGGAATTTTTCATACAGTATCAACAGATAAACTTCACGATTGAAATAATCTCACTAAATCCTTAGTTTTTCAATCATTCATCCTCAAGTATGTGACAGTTCTATTACAGCATTTCTACCAGTATCTGATGTCACAACTGGACGTTGTTTTAAAATAATTTAATACTTTCCTTGATCTAACGCTTTTTAAACCTCTTCCTTCCCCCCAGTACTCAAAATTGATTTTGAACCATAAACATTCAAATCGCAGGAAATTTTCAGGATATGTCGAGATCATGGTGGAATTGTATAGCTCCAGATCATAATGTTTTGTGTAATTCACATACATTTTAATACTGCTGTCAATCGTAGTTGTGCAGGTAAAAATAAGAGGTTTTCACTGGGAATAACATTGGATCAAATTCATATGGAATAAGTTTGTTTCGCAGTTAAGTTCCAAAAGAGCTGTGCTAATAAACTTTCCATGAGAAAAAGATGTCAAGCTACAGAACCTGGCAGAGTTTTTATTTGACATGCTTTTTCTCAGGTCGAGAAATACAGACCAGTTCCGATCGGAACTAGAAAAGCTCAGCCGTTGGATTCGATTACTGGATTTCTGTTTTCAAGTTCGTACCATTTTCCTGAGTTTTCTAGCGAGAGCCCTTTAGAAATCCACCAATTCGGGTGCTGGAATCAATAACTTGATTTCAGATAAAAAATATATAAATACATATAGAATGAAGATCTGCATAGAATTTTGGGTCACCAAATCAACTATTTTTGACTCTTGTTTGATGAATATCTCATCAGAACATGATGCTCTTGAGCTGAAAATTTCACCATAACCTTTCCACTACAACTTCGACACATCTTGAAAATCTCATGCGATTTGAATATTCCTGGTTTGAACTCGATTTTGAGCAGGAGCTTTAAAAGAACTGGTTAACAGCCTTCGACTTGATTTTTATGACTTATTCAGTAAACAATTACATATGCAAAAAAAACGTATCTCTCTGCGCTAGTTTTCTTTGAAAATGCTCTAAGACGAACTGCTCTTTTAATATAATCAAATTTAAGTTAATACTGACATAAATAAAAGTGATATTCTGTATGTCATCAAATACATCTTCGATATTTTATATGGATAATTTTTCTTTTATTTAGGATGTCGATCAAGCTATATTTGAACCTCTACTCAGTCCATTATTTCCCAAAGCAACAGAAATACTTTTTTATACAGGTAATACATTAGCATTACCAAAATTAATGAAAAAAACCAATAAAAGCATCACTGAAGAGGTAATATTAAAAAAATTATAAAAGTAAATATTTTTTTTTTTTAAATTTTACTTATTTTTTTGTTAGATTATTGAATATATTTCAACAGTATTACAAACAATGCGAATAGAGATGAATGAAAAACAATTTCAAGTATAATTATCTGAAGAAAAAAAAACAAAATTGATTTGCTTTATTTAAAGAAATAATTTATTTTTAGAATGAAACATATGTTAAATTTCTTCCAATATCTGATGAAACATCAATAACAAATAATTATAATGGTACAAGTTCTGATACTGAACAATTAACACGAGAGGATTTAAAATTTTCCGGTAAAATTGTTTTTTTCCTTTATCATTATTAAATACATTTCATCTTTATGTTTCAGTTAAAATATTTCTTCGTTCACTAGATCCAGAATTATTATCTCATACAATTGATACAGGTTTCGCTTAGATTCTAATGAAAGGAGGGAAATTTATTGAATGATAAAATCAGTCTTCTCTCGAAGCTAACTTCCTTATTTTCAAAAGAAGTAAATTCGAATGTCAGAAGTTGATTGTCGTTCGATCTAGACCGTAAAACTGCGTGCAGCTGACTCAAAACTCGATATTATCCATCATTTATAGGGTCATGTTGTACAATTTTTCTATGAAAAGTTTATTTCTTGTCTTCAACTCTTTTAAATTGATTTATATATCAAATGAAAGCTGTTTCTTTCCTATATCGATCGGTATGTATGAGTATGATAAAATATTGTTCCTTTTCTTTTACTTTCAAATGATAATGCTCTCTTGTATGTACAATAGGAGAACATCCATCACAACATTCTCTTACTATTGTGCTTTTAAAGCAGCGATTCACTTTGAATTATATATCATTTGATAAGCTTTACAAAATGAACGCCAAAATTTGCTCTTTTTGACTGACATTTTACAAAATTCGATCAGAATAATCGGTTTTCTTATCACAAACTGATAATATATTTGAAATCATCATAGAAAACTGAGTTGATCTAATTATATATATTATAAAATCCTTCGAAAATTTTTATTTTCGTTTAAAATTAAAGTCAATCAAAATATGGTTTTTCATTATTTATTCACCTGTTATTTTGAATTTTCCTCGATTTTTAAAAAATTAGAAAAGACTTTTCAATATGAAACTGATGTTTTGACTGATTTTTATTTTTCAACGTGAATCCTGCGGGACATCAGGGTTGAGTATTTAGACGAAAATAAAAATTGTCGGAGAATATTGTGATACGTAAGATTAACTCAATTTTCTATGATGATTACAAATTTATTATCGGTCTTGATAAGAAACTTGATTATTCTGAACAAAATTCGTCAAATGTCAGTCATAAAGAGTAACTTTTGGCATTCATAAACATTGTGAATTTGATTAAAGCATCTTGCCAACAAATTAAGCTCAATGCAATACTATCATTTTGTAGAATTTTGAAAAGCCTATCGAATAATATATAATTCAAAATGCATCGCTGTTATTCACATCTCAATTGGATGGAAGGTTTACCATCGGTGTCCTGATATTGTACATATAAACGAACAATGTCATCTAAAAGTGAAAAGGAAAGAATAATATTTTGTCATATGTCACTCGACAGAGGAAAGAGTTTTCATTTGATATGTAATTCAAATTAGAGGAGCTGAAGAAGTGATGCAAACTTTCCAAATGAACACTATATTGCATAATGCTATGCAAGGTAGATAATATTGAGTTTTGAGTCAGTCGCGCATATTCTAACGATGTAGATTGAACGGCAATCAACTTTATTGAAAATAAGAAACTGTATTTCGAAAGGAGGCCGATTTCATCGCTTAACGATCCTCTATCCACCTATTCCTTTATCTTTTATTTATTGTATTTTGTTTTTTGTTTTACTTTAGTTTTAAATCAATTAAAAGAAAATTATTTAGAAAGTGTCATGATATCATTACCAAATTTAGGTGTACAAATAAAATTAGATGATTTTTTACCACTATGGCGTATTATTGAAGACTATATAGATAAACAAAAAATTTTATCAGCTGGTGTTTGTGATTTTATGCTTCCATTATTGTCTGATTTATATGATTCTTGTAATGTAATAAATTTGAGAAAGAAAAAATAGAATTCAATTTGGAAATTGATTTTTTTTTTTAATTTTAGCATAAGCCATATGCAAATCAAATTAATTTAGGTGTTTGTTGTTCAATTCCTGAAGAATTGAATAAATATGTTAAAGAACATAATATACAACTTTTAACACATAGTGATCCAATTGGTAAAATTTTTAATAATATTCTTTTAAATATTCTTTTAAATTAATATTTCGTATTTAGATATTATTAATGAAACAGATTTTCAAGAAGTTATACGAAAATATTGTCATGAGTATGATTCAATTAATTGGAAACCATTATCTATTGTTCGTTATAATTCCGTTATTAAAAATCGAGGTATTATTAAAACAAAAGGATTTTTTATATATGCTAAACGAGAACTACGTATGAATTAAAAATAAATCAAATATTTCAATCAAAGACTTTTTTGTCGTAATATATTCTTTATTTTATATGCCTACTCTTTTTGTTTCTATAAAACTAACTATTAACATGCATTTGTTTATGTATAGAGATGAAATAAATCATATTTAGATACGAAATATTCTCATTGATATATTAACTCATATGTCAGAACAACAATGATAATAATAAAAAAAACAACTTTGTTCTTAACAGTTCAACATTCAATAAACAAGAAAATTATCAAAATTTGAATAAAATATGATTGAAATAATTCTCTGAAATTATGAACAAAGTTCATAGATCATACGGAGAAAAACGATAGTGTAAACAGATACGATGAATTGTTTTCATCGAAGAAGTTTAACACATGCTGTTATGTTGATATTTCTAGTCTATTATCGATCATATCGTACTTGAGAGTATGGAGTGTGGGTGTGTAGATGTGGATGTGTGGACATCTTTGCGAGGTGTGAAAGTGTGCATGTGAGGCTTAGTGTTGTGGTGATTGTGTCAATATGAAATGAACTTGAGTATCGGGGCGCTTGTGGCAATGTGTAGAGATGACCTGGGTGTAGGTGTTTACCTTAGTGTGTTGGTGTGACTGTGAGAAAGTATGGGTGAGTGTATCGGTGTGAGTATCGAAAATTCATTTGTTTGATCCACACCCAACACCCACATTCACATGGGGGTATCTTTTAGCATTAGAAAAAAATGACCTCCATTCGTTTTGTGATTTTCTGGAGAATCTTGTTGTCTCTTTTTGGATGCTATTAGCATTGAAATCCCGATATAACGTCTTCCTATCTGGTCGCGATAAATTTCGGCGGATACAGGAAGAAAGAGAAGGAGTCATAATAGTCGACGCTGATGTATATATAACTATACCAGTTGGTATTCAATTTCAATTTCGTACAATTGGACGGTAACCTCTCGTACCAATAGCAATTACAATATTACCATGACCTGCAGATACTAAAGCTATTCCGAGAACAGTTATTTGAAATGCAAGTTTTATTGGACTTTCGAACTTATCGACAAAATTGTTAAATTCGATTTGTATGTACATGATTATTCTCACTGTCCATAGAGTGAAGACATTCTAACCTCAAAGAAATAGATCTATTTTCTGTGATGAACTTGATCAAAGAAATTTTTTTCTTATGTGTTATAAAGAAAAGCATAGACTATCAATGTCACATATTTACTTCAAGCATACTCCGCTTATGGAAACAGTAGAACAAGGTATCACTATTTTATCTCGTCGAACAATAAATTATGCATTCTTTTTCTTACTCGTACTCACACTCGACTGAATAACAATATTCATATTGAGTTGTATCAAACGAACGTCACTTTAATGTTTTCAAGATGAGATTCGTGTTTCCAAAACAAAATCATCAAGTTAAAAATTAGTTCTTTTCCATTTTCAATCTACTTTTCCCACGTTGTTCTTGAACATGGATGCATATCTTGATCTTCCTTCCGAAAAGAGTTCAAAAAAAGGAATTAATAGAAAGGATAAAAAGAACTGAAAAGAGAATATAAGCAAACACAACATTAACAAATGAGAAAGAAATAAGAGCATATAGACAAAGAGAAAATGCAAAAAGACCTTGCACTAAATAGATAGATAGGCACATACGATTTGAGCTATTCTTGCTTTCTAAAGACATTTACGCACTTGTCAAATTTGTTCTGTGGTTCTGACAACGATTGTATGTAAATTTCACGTTTCAATCCCATTAGGAGTTGCGATGACAAGCTTTTTTTTATGTAAGTTTCAGAACAAAATTGTCTACATATTCTGTAGAGCATCATTTTTGCTTGTTCTCTACTTATGAATTCGCTTTAGATATACTTTATCACTGACATTTTCTTTTGAGAATAGCAGACTTAACAGAATTTGAACTTTTCATGTTACATTGGAAGATGAACATATTTACCAGTCAACCATTTTATGTTATCATTAATGACTAGCAAACCAATCCATACATAGTGCGACTCAATTCACATGCGTGCATATGCCAGATCATGATCACTGACAATCTCATGACTTGTGTACGTTAGCAAGTGTTGGTTCAACATGACATCTTCTACATGAAAGAACACTCTAGTTAAGAACAAACGAGAATTTGCGAGTAATTGCGTTGCCTGTCATGTGCATCTTCTGTCTTGTATGTTTAAGCCGCGTGTAAACGCACGTATTCTTAAGTTTCCTGTAATTATACGAATCAACACTTGCTGAGCTTTTATATACTCTTGCGAGAGGAAATTCTTATGCGTTTGCGCATAAATTTTGCCCGCACATAGTTGCAAGGAAAAAATAATTGCCTCATTGGACGTGTTTCAACAAAAACCTAATAAACCACGTTCACGTGCGTGTAATTCAATCCGCATACACACGCATACAATAGGTTCTGCATATAAACACGAGAGTTCCAGGAAAATTTGCGTGGTCATACATGCCGATAAAAGATAAAATAAATGTTTTGCGTGCAAATGCGAGCTTTCAAGAAACACGTGCGTTTGCACGCATGTTGTAGACTTTCACGATTGACTAAATACCTTGTAAGAAAGCATATTCCATTTGAATATTTTATTATTCGACTTCATCGTTTGGCAAAAACCAACGACAGTTTACAAAAAATGTGAGTGCAGGGAAAGACGAGATATAATTATCTAAAGGCGAAAAAAAGACAGTACTATAGTCAATGGCAGGAGTGTACTTTTTCATTCGAAGCAAAAATCCTGTAAGTCAAGAACGAAACGACCAAGCAATCTAAAATTTTCAGATTGATCAGCGATGTGTATGAGCTTGTAGTGCTGAAAATTTCATGTGTATATGATCTTGCTTGACTGAGTTGTAATGTTTTCAATTTTTGGCTATGTTAGCTGGGAAGAACAGAAAATTGGCTCTAACTTTTCAAGAAAGAGCCATCAGCACAAATCATTTTAGACTTTTTACTATCTCAATGCACTCTATCAAATGACCTATGAATGAAGAGAATCGACGTCAGACATCTCGGATGGTTCCCTCGTAAGATTATTTTATTAGTAGTTCTTGTTGAATAACTATAGAGATGAAGAATTAAAAACGAACTTTTACAGCATCTTCTAACAAGGGAGCATATTCAACTGCTGGACGCCGTTCGACTCCGTATTTCGACTATGAGTAGAATTCAGTGAGACTAAGGAAACTCTAGAAGAGCTCGTGTTCATGACCTGTTGGTGAAGGATTATGATCGTTTCACTAATTTTTCAGCCTATCTGCAGGTATGAGGTAAAAAATCAAATTACTTAGTTTTGGCACATACCAACGAATAGGCTGAAAAATTAGTGAAACGGTCACAACTCTTGACCAACAAGCCATAGGCACGAACCCTTCTAGAGTTTTCTTAGTCTAACTGGGTCTCACTCCTAGCCAAAATATGAAATTGAACGGTGTCCGGCAGTTGAATATGTTCCCTCATAAGATCTGAAAACTATCATGTTGGATTTTTTTTTTAAAGAAAACTCTTCCACATAGCTCTACTATAACATCTTGATATATAGTGCATCCAATAGAGACCTTTCTTGGCTATTCAACTCTCTGTTTGAATTTGAGTTAGATACTCGATATCATCGAAAAAGTCAACAATACGTTACTCTTATAATTTTGAGTAGTATAATAATTAAAAAATTCAGTCTTTTTCATAAATAAACAGGATCAAAATACTCTTTGAAGATGGCTTCAGATTTTTGTATAAATGTACACAAGAACAATACATGATCCAACAGTCTTGAATTGAAAGTAATTCATGAATAGGTACGTTTTATAAAAACAATTCGATATTTTTGTAAATTTTCACTTGTATGTTATGCTCTTGAACTTTTAAAATTATATTTTTTTAATGTATTAATCATATTTACAAATTATCAAGATATCGGTCTAATCAAATAAAAACATATTATCGTCTATTTTAAAATACATTTAAATACTTCATTACAAAAAACAAAAAAAAAGACATTTTTAACTATTTAAACTTTTATGTATGATCATTTTTAAAAAAAAACCTATTTTTCTTTTCTCATATAATTCAATATATTTAATCACTAGACATGATTTCATGTAGAGATGAAGAAAAATTTATTCTTTAAAAGCATACAAATAGACAGGATGAAACTCATTATTTAGCTACTTATACATAGTAATAACCTTGATGTCAAAAAATAATGATATATTCTTGTCTATAATTAACTAAATATTATATCATGTTTAGTTTGAGAAAAAAAAAAATTTCTCATAGAAAGTTTATAATAAAAATATTTTTTCTAAGATATGTATTGATGAATTTTATTTATATAATTTATTCATTAGTTATGTACAAAAAAAAAAAAGAAATAAAAGAAAAAACAAATCATAACAATATATATGATGAACAAGTTAAATCACGGAAATTGCATTGCTTCATACATAAAATTAAGAGATATTTAACCTTTACAAAACTTTTCAATTGATGTGCACTGAGATATAACTAATTAGTTAATAATAAACTCATAAAAAATTATTCAAGCAATACATACAAAAAGAAAAGAACTTAGTCAAGTATAAAAAGTAAAGATATATTTGAATATATTTTATACTATATTACTAAAAGAAAAGAGAAGCCTCGATGTCAAATTGTAAATACTTGATTATTAGACCTACATTAAGTACGCTGTGATAGTTTTTCTTCATAATAAAATATCAAATTTCTTGGATATGTTTGTAATTCAATAGATGATTAAAAATAAATCGAGATATTTTACTAAAGAATGTCTACCTTTCAATAATTAAAACAATAAACAATACTATTTATAGGTCTGTATAGATAAATTGAACATTCTACATGTTATACTAAAATAAAATATATTGCATTTATGTATCACTAGTGTATTAGTATTGCAAACTTTTCTATGAAAATTTAATGCATTATAGATATGTCGTTACCACAGCAAATACTGCCAGTGG